CAACCCAACAACCCACCCAATCATTTACCTATTACATATGTCATAGGCAAACCAACTTTCGGCAGCTCTGTATGTTATTACTAAATACGATGGTTTATTTTCTTATAATAATGTATAAACATCTAATTAAATTATATTGTTTATTATTTGTTTATTACGGAATAAACTCCAATTACATTGTAAATAAATATATTAGAGAGCTACAATAGTACTTAAGGAAAAAGGAGGGAAAAAATACATAAATGTAAATCAAGTTGTGTGTAAACTGTACATAATAATATAGGTATATTATAATTTAAAGAGAAAAAAAAACATAAAAATTAAAAATTAATGAATATATGAAGAGAGATCATTGAGTGAACAATTAAATAAATCTTTGATATGTATGGAGTTTCCAATAGCCATTAGCGTGTTAAAWGGAAAGAATGACATATATTTGGATGAAATTTTTGGTGGATAGAAAAGTTGTTTTTTTCTAGAGCTTAGAGGATATTTTAAATTATATTAAATTTGAAGTTTATACTTAAATATAAATGCCTATTTTATAACATAGGTAGGTATTATGATTTGTGATTTCATGTTTTGATAGTTTTTAGTATAAAAATCTGTAAAAGACCACAGACTCAGTGTCTTAGTGATGACATACAATATATATCATTTTAAAATCAATASATAAATGCTCATCACTTATCGCTTTGTCACTCCTCTCAAAATCGATATACCTATACCCTCATACAAAGGGGAAATTGAGTAATTGAAGGATTAGGTCGAGTTAAATCATTCCGATAGACAATTATTTGTTTAAGTTTAAGAAKCTCCATCCTTTTATAAATAYTCCGATTCAGACACTGTATACCTTATCTATAATGATTTGAATTGTTTAGAAAATATCTAACACATTTGAAAATAGTTAATCGAGGGATAAGGCAACAAAAAATGCATATATTTTTTATGTATTAAGTAATACAAAAATACATATATTTTTTATGTATTAAGTAATACAGTGTTATATAATTATAGTTCCATATTGGGCGTCCAAGAACAATGGTTGCATGGCAAGTATGATGGAAGGTATGACAGTAACTTTCTTGCCGGAACGTCCTGCCATTCAAATCACTAATGAATGCAGTCCAGGTGTCTCCAAAAACGTTACTTGCAAAGGAAACATGGTTTGTTGTGGTCAAAATATTTAAAATACAGACACAAGTATGATCAGTTATATTAAAAAAACAATTCAAACTGTATGTGATACTTAATAGGTATTACTAATTATACTTAAATGATATATTTATAATTTTGATACCTATCTATCATATAATAATTTTATTATTTTCATAATTATTTGATTTAAAAATAAAAAGTCAAACATTATTACATATTATATTTTATTGAAACACAATTTTTAATAGAACAGAGTTATTTCACCAAATAATATATGATTTTTTTTTGTATGTATTATTGGTACGTATGATAAAAACTGAATTGATTTGATAAACTTTCATCGTAGATTTTAAATTTAATGAGGTGTACACTTCATGTATAACAAAGCCTCTGTTCAAAATATACGATTAATTTGATATGATTATAATTGTTATTTATTAGCTTGGCTAAATTAATTAAAACAATTTAAGAATGTACAGAGTAATACGAACAGTATCGAATTATTCGACCTGGGAAAATAAGCTACCCTATCCGTGTATWAGTTTTAGCGTTTTAGTATACCTACTTGTATCTACATTGTATATATTACAAGTATTATATGTACATATTGTACATTTAACATATTATACTATAAACATATAGTACCATTCATGAGGAATAGTGTACGAATAATTATTTAAAAAATATTATTAAAACATTATATGGAAATAATACTTATATTATTAGTTATTCTTATTACACACACTTGTGTTTGTTATAATAATAATTTTATACATAATTCGAAGCAATTCTTATCAAATTTATAACTTTACGTAAACAGTGCRCATAATACAATATTGTAGAATATACCTAGTATTTATTATGTCATAACTCATAATAAATACTAAGTATCGGACGAGTAACCATTGTAAAGTATAGGTAATATGTAGTTTAATAATTAGCTTAATTTCATTGTTTTTGCAGTAATGTTTTGTTTTACACCAAGTGAATAAAATTCAGAATATAAAAATAATACTGCTGTAATAACTTATCACTTTCTTACTACTTAACATTAAAAATTATCTTTTGATTTTTTTTTTCAAATGATGATAATCTACCATTAATCCTTTACTATAAAACATTTAGTGTGTAACATAATATAAGACATTCATCATGCGCTCCTCCWYGTGTCTAAATGAAATACAAAAAATATTATTATCTTTACAAATGTCATTAAATATAAGGTGTTCTCAATAGGAACGTTTGAATCATATTTGTATGAAATGTAATATAATTAAATGAAAAAAATAAAAAATATTACAGATAGAAACCTAAACATTTTTTCCCTATTAGTTTACTTATTAGATTTCTATTAAATAACTTAATTTTAATTTATGTTTAGTGCTTTCCCTAGCACCCTAGCTAGTTAGTTTTATATTATTATTATTATTTTATCCACATATATTAACCAAATCAATTCCAATGTACCAAACATTTGTTTTTGTACATTTTTATGTACAACATTACACACGATGTATTTACTAAATCTAACTTTTATATTTTTTAGAAACAATCAGAAATAATCGAAAAATTAAGCTGTACTAATTCTAATAAACCACTGAAGACGTTATTTAAACCTGCCAAACCTGAAATAGTTGATATTAAGTTAAAAACAACGACATCAAGCTCAGAATCAGGTAATATTTCAATCGTAAGGTCAATTAGCCAAAATAAATAGGCTGTATGTAAACTGCGGCAAAATTAACCTTTTTCTAAAAGTCGATTGTACACTGCAGCAAAAGAAATTTAACATTATACAATCTGCGACAAAACCGATAAGACACATTATACAAACTGTGGCAATTTATTTTATATACCTACCAGAATTATGCGTATCGTTTAATTAATTTCCTAAGTTATGTTTATTTATCTTTCTTACAAATTGGTAAGGTAAATCCAAATGTATTTTTAAGTTTAACGAAACATACTATATATCGGCTTCTTTGCGTTTGATAATACTAGTTAGTACCTGCTTACTAGTATCAGTAGAAGTAGTTTAAAGCAAAGGCGTGCGCAGGACATTTTTGATGAGGGTGCATAGTAAAAATAGATTGAACATTTCAGTATGTTACCTACCTAGCCACATAACAATTCGGGTCAGGATTAATAAAAAAAAAAAAAAAAATTAATAATAATTGTATACATTATATAATTTAATTATAATTCAATACAGTAATCGTAATTACATAATAACTATAATTCTATAGTTCAAGACGACGTGTACCTGGGTACATAGACTTGAATTCATCAATTATATCGTCTGGATTGATTTGTGATGCCA